TATATATTATGTACATATATTATATTATCATATAACTCGCAGAAAGTGTCACACTCACAGGATTCAATGTCGGCTCCAGCAAGCTTTCCCGATGGACCGAAGTGGATACGAATGAATTTACCCTGAATACGATTCAGTTTAACCATTAGACAATGTGAAAATATCTGGAGCACATCTCGAGAAATATATCTGTGTTCAAGTGAGTCTGAATTTTTATTCGAAATCAAGCAATTGATTGAAAAACGTTAAACTTGTATCATATGTGCACACGCGCACGCACGCACGCACGCACTCACGCACGCACATTCGAATATACGAAAAAAATTGTTCCACGATATATCGAGTTTATTTGATTTAATCGCACTTACGAAACGAGAAGAGTTGTCGTTTCTGACGGTCTTTGCGTTTCCGAAACTCTCAAGCACGGGGTTAGCCTGCACGATCTGGTCCTCCAGACTCACCGCCTAGTCGACGCCAAAATATAGTAAGTGCGCCATACGCTAATAGTGTCAAAACTATTTCGTAATATATTTAAATATCGTTGTAGCTAGTCATAGCACTGAATTTGTGAAAAATTTCAGAAAAAAATTATTGTGATTGAGAATTCATGCAATGATAACAATAACTACATTGTTTTGCTCATGTAAAATATGAAATGCAGTTTGCCATCGACTCACAATAGAAACGAAGATATTTGGGGGAAGGCAATTATTATTATTAATAGATTAATTTATGTAATTAAATAAAGTTGTTTAGTTCTAAGCATATGTGTATTAATGTGTATATATGTATAAGTAATGAGGGAGATGATTATTTACGTGCTGGTTAGAGTAGCCTGTTTGTCTTGATTATCAGAAATTGTAAAATTTTCATCTCTTGCTCGCGAGAGCTACGCACCTTCTCCTTCTTCTGGCCAGAGGCGGCTACTAGGGCGAAGTAGGAAATTACTTTCTTCGTGTTCTCAGTCTTACCAGCGCCAGATTCACCGCTGTATTACAAACATGTTTGAATCGTTACAAAACCGCACAGTGGCTGCCGATGTCTGTTGGCAAGGTAACGATAAAATTACGCCGGCTAAATAACAATTTATGCTGAAATATAGAAAAAGAACTCAGCAAAAGAGAAAGGCCGTCTAGAAAATTATTATCTCGCGAAAAAAACATACACATGAAGATTGAAGTTACAGAAACTACACCCGCGCACGTTTCGTAAACTGTAACATTCCTCTTGGCTAGAAGTGAAGCTAAGCGTAAACGTTGTAGCAAAAAGTTCGATTGCGAAATTGACTTACGTGATTAGCATAGACTGATCTTCCCGATCTGGAGAAAAAAAAGTAGTGTGTAAACAAAGATACGGTAGCGCCATGTATACAGTAAACATTCGGTCATCTAACGATTACAGTATTGACAAAACTATACGCCTCATTTACAAACGTGACTGAAACGTTTATAAATTGACATCGTTGTTTGCTGGCTTGTTACATTTGCTCGTTTTTCTTAACGCAACTTTCCCGATTGACAAGGATTAACGCGTTAGGTGGGTTGTACTACTGCTACCGCTGCTGCCGCGCCGCCACCGCCGCTACTGCTGCTGCTGCCGTTGCCGCCACCGCCACCGCCACCGCCGCCACCGCTGCTGCTGCTGCTGCTGCTGCTGCTGCTACTGCTGCTGCTGCTACTACTACTACTACTACTACTACTACTACTACTACTACTACTTACTAAGTAACTATTCTGACGATGGGAAGCTAGCTCATGTTCTCACATTTACCAATGTGGCGTCATTCAATCATTAAGTGTGATGATGATAATAATAATAACAATGAGAAGGAGAAGAAGAAGTTGACGAAGACGAACAGACATTGCTGTTGTGGGAAACGCGGGTGAATATTGTTATGACTGAACGCAAGGTGACTCACTCGCCAGCATCGCCGCGTAGGCGTTGTCTGCGACGGAGAACAGATGTGGCGGCATCTCTGTACGGCGCTTGCCACGGTATTCCTGTACGACCTGGTCGGTGTAGATCGGCAGTCTCTTGTAGGGATTGATCACGACGCAGAAAAGTCCAGAGTAGGTCTAGAAGACAATTATTACACTCTTCAAACTATCTTTCATACTATCTTTCTACCTCAAACGCATTATTTTTACATCAACTAACCATTCATTTATCTGTGTGCATATATGTACGAATGCACATAGTAGTTGAATCGTCGAGATTACGTCTAGACGATATAAGAAAAAACATTCTCAAACTGATCGATTTCTATACTATGGACATTAATCTAACAATAGTTTCGAACTTCATTCGTGCCCTGTGATTTACGAGTACTTGCAAAACGTTTTAACAAATATAATATAATAAAAACGTGATACCATACCGATAATATTTCACAACTAGTATATGTAGTCGATGTAGTTTAACCATTATTGATAACATAAACGAATATAGATATAGAATGAGAGAATAATAGAACGGTAAATATGCTGGCATACGTAGATCATCCAGGCGCGGTATCTCTGCCGGAGGTTGTGCAACACCGAGGCGTCGTTAAGGTAGGTCAAGCTGGCCATGTCTTCTGTTTTCTCAAACTTTGGCGGATTCACCTGCTGGACGTGGTCTTCTTTCAGTGTCTTCTCCTGTAAAGACGTACACATCAGCGTGAGGCCGTGTCTGATACCGAGAGACTGGGTAAGTACTAAGTAAGTAAGTAAGTAAGTAAGTAAGTAAGTAAGTAAGTAAGTAAGTAAGTAAGTAAGTAAGTAAGTAAGTAAGTAAGAAAAAACTTTATTTAACGACGGTAAAACATGTTAGGTACAGACAATAAAATGGCGCGGACCTATCTTCCACATAGCCGTCTCACAGCAATAGAACAGTTAAATATTAAATAAATACACAATAAGAGTTGAAGTACTTAGACTAAAATTGTACGGGGTAAGTAGAGCGCAATTGGCGCTATTGATAGGGCAAGATTATCTTTAGACGGAATCACAGGCTGAGGCTGAGATTCAAACATATGATACGTACATTATCGACAAGCGTAACCTATTTACATATGTACACTATCTATGTATGTAACGTATGTACATTACATGCGTACGTAACTTGTGTGCATAATCTACATATGTGACATAGGTACATTAAGCACACCTGGTATATAGTGATTGCGCTTACCTCGCCTCTCGCAACGACAGTGACCATGTCTCCCGACGTCTCTTTGATCTCGCCGATAACGTAGCCCTCCTTCCCGTCTGGAACCCAGATCATCGTCTTTCCGTCGAAAGGGATCGTCTGCTGCTCGATTCGCATCTTGTCGGGAACCTTGAGGAACTGCCATGGATCCTGCTGCAGCAGCTCCTTGGCGCCCCACGACAGGGGCAGCGCTTGGGTCAGCATGGCGAGAAGGGTCTACTCTGGATCTGTTAGCGCAAGTAGACGACAGCTGTGGAGAGGAAAAAGTTGGTTGCGTTAGGACACTGTGAAACGCAGGCAAACACGACAACGAATACAGTCAGTATACGGGTCGCTCGCCCAATCGGAGGCTTAGTAGACAGGTGAACGTTCTATGGAGGTGTTTTCATTGTATAACTGCCATCGAGGGAAACGCGAAATTGCCTTTATATTCAATAGAGAAGACTGTCACTGTATATCTGCCTCTCAAGGTAAGCGTCAAAACTTGCCGTTATAGACAGGCGGCCGCTCTCTAGAGGTGTCGCTAACGCGGGCCTGACTGCAACTAGCTATACTATAGTGAAATATCTTAATTATTATGCGTGCCATAATATACTGATTGTCAATGCAGTTTTCACAGCTAGGTTGAAACCCCGCGCACACAGCGCCTAACGCGCAATGTTCGCGTGCGTATGCCTTGCCTTTGTAGAAGAGCCGTAGCCAAAAAAGCGACCGCAGCAACATCACAAGTTAACACATTTATGCATGGATGTATATATATGTATATATATGTACCTATATCTATATCTATATCTATATCTATATCTATATCT